TAGTAAGGTAAACGACGGGATATTTTCCAAGCTCCTTGTGCGTCAGCTGTTCTCTGGGCTGTATGAGGATACCATTTCCCACATGAGCTTCTTTCTTTCTTGGAGTCTACCTTTTGGATCCCAGCTTCGAGAGGGCTTGGCATAGAAACCGGCAAAGGAAGACGACTGAGGTGTTCATTATCTGCGCCTAAATTAATGCAACGTCTATATAAATATCTTAAAAAGTACCACTCCAGGTTTTTTAATGAGTGCTGTTGTTTAGCACGTGTAATTTGTTTCTGTTGCTCGAAGTTGGTTAATTTCTCCTGGTTATGTACAATAGTAACTTTAATTTATGGTCCTACAAGGGTCAATTCTGGCTTGTTGAATTTACATCTCTTGTTTTGCTCCTGGTTTTATCTCTTATTAAGAATCCTAGAAGAGGAAAAACATCCCTCTTCTGATTAATTTCATGGAGGATTATCTTGACTAAATAATTCTGATTATTATTGACAGCTTATTATTGACAGATTATTTTTGACAGCTTGACTCACTGTAGAAATGTAGAATAGACTCAGTCAGCTATTCCTTTGCCTCTAATATCACTTAAGAAAATTCTCTACACCTGGCCTGAAACTTTTAGGTTTTAAAGATGATATGGTTATACTTTGAGTAGAATTTTTTTCCCCCCAGAAGTTTAGTATTTAGTATTCCATCATCCCATGTTGTGGAAAATCGGATTATTCTTAAATCATAAACATTCTGAAGAGACATCACTTGCCAAACGGGTATTATTTTAGAATATTTTGAGGTATAACATTAAGAACCTGTTAGCTCTTCCTAATTCAAATAATTCATTGATGCTGTTTATTCAGCATCTGACAGTTTGGCTGTTTTCTGTTCTGTCATTCCATTTCCTGGCTTAATTTACGTAGCTAGTTCTCTTGTTAGGGCAAGACATTGTCGGCTTCTTAGCCCAGACTGCTTTTTTGTGACATGTAATGTTGCCATGACACTTTCCTCTTCTGCTGTACAGAAGGTTGATGTAATAATTCTAAACCCAAAAGTAGCTTTAAATATTCATTGTGGCATAAAATTATAAACTTTTTTGTTCTTTATAAGTGGGTGCATTCAGGGGACAGTGATTATTTAGGTTCATAAAATGCCTCAAAGGATGGATAATTTAGGCCTAAAGAAGACTTGGTTGTACACGTTTCTGTTTATGATCTTTCCATATTTTCGGTGACTGTCAGAGCATTGTGTATCTGACCTTTGATTTTTCTACTTAAATTCAGCTGCCCTTCCTCCTCTCAATGTAAAGCTTTACGTTTATAGCATATTCTTTCTTCTTTCTACTGTTGGTTTCCTTCTGTGTAAATGTGATTCTTGAAATAGCATTTCTGGTCCTCTCTACTTACATATAAAAAGTTCTCAGGTGCATCTTTGTGTTACCTTATCGTCAGCTTTCTTCTCAAATCTGTTCTTATTTTCAATATTTGAAATATTTCAATATTCAAAAATAAAGTTCATATTTTCAAAATACATATTTCACATTTGGCAACCATCCTAATTTCTTCTTGATTAAAAACTTTGATTTCCATTGCTAACTTGCTAACTTGCCCATTGTCTTACATCGAGGTGTAGGTAGTACAGAATTGGCATTGGAATTTAGATCACCTGATTCCTAGTCAATTGCTGATGGCACTGTCTATTCTCTGTTTGCATTTCTTTCACCAAAATTCTTGTTTTGTGTTTGGAGCTTGGACTTGAGGCTCTCATGTAGTATTGTAAAATTTTGGCTCAAGAGTTAAAAAAACAAACAAAAAACCCCAAACTGCATTTAATCTTGGCTTTGTCACTGACCAGCTGTGAAACCTTGGAAAGTTACTTAGCCTCTCTATACCTTTAGTTTACTATTATGTAGAATAGAATAATATCAATAGTACCTTCTCCATAGGATTGTTAATAGGATTAGGTGAACATACATTTAGTGTGTTATCAGTGTTCAATGCATGGTGCCTTTAATTAGATAATAATAGGTAGTATGAATAGGAATTCAAGGAACTGTATTTAATTATAGTTGACGATATTATTCTTAGCTTATTAATTTGGTGAAGTTCATGTTACCTTTGAACCTTCTAGAGTGCTAATAGTAGCCGTTTGGCAGGTCATAGTTGAGGAATCAAGGCTAAAAATAATTAAGTGGTTTGCCCTAGGTCTCCCTACTAAGAGTAGACCCAGGTTGTCTGAATCCTAGTGCTTTGTCACTTCACATGCTTCCTCCCTAATAAAAGAACTCTATATTAAAATTGAGCAACTGTCCATTTTATTTTGGCCTCAAACATTCTACTCTATTGAAATAATCTATTTAAAATGGCGTAAATTCAGTGTTCTTATTTATCTTTTTAGTTGCAGTAATATCAGTGGTATCCTGAGAGTTTAGTTGAAGTTGAAAATTGAAAACTTTGTCTTAAAAAGAGACCCATGGGCTTCCCTGGTGGTACAGTGGTTACGAATCCTCCTGCCAATGCAGGGGACATGAGTTTGAGCCCTGGTCTGGGAAGATCCCACATGCCGCGGAGCAACTAAGCCTGTGCACCACAACTACTGAGCCTGTGCTCTAGAGCCCGCAAGCCACAACTACTGAAGCCTGCAGGCCTAGAGTCCATGCTCTGAAACAGAAACCACCGCAATGAGAAGCCCGCGCACCGCAACGAGTGGCCCCCACTCGCTGCAACTAGAAAAAGCCCGCACGCAGCAACGAAGACCCAACGCAGACAAAAAAAAAAACAAAAGAGACCCATAATTCAAGGATGTTACCCATTTTGTTTTCATTTACAATAAAGTGGATGCCACTCTTCCCTTAGCCATTTAAAATTTTAAGACTGGAGATTGGATAGCAACAGGAAAAGATTTTTTCTTTATCTTTCAGCATTAATCTGGAACATAGCAGTAGTAATTTATGGTCTGTGGTGTTTTATGTTCATGTGAACTGTATGAGTTCCCACTCTCTTTTCCTCAGGTCGATATTTTAAAAAAGAGTCCATTGAGCTGCTGATTATATTTTATCAAATTAAGATGCATCATTATTTTATTTACCTCTGTTTCAGTTATCTATTGCTGTGTAACAAATACATGCAAAATCCGCAGATACGGAGGCCGACTGCATTACACCAGTTTATATAAGGGACTTGAGCATCTGAGGATTTTGGTATCCAAGGGGGCTCCTGGAACCAATATCCTGCTTATAGCAAGGGACGATTGACTGTAATCCCAAAATGTAGTGGCTTGAAACAAAAATTATTTGCTCAGTATTTTGTTATTTGAGCTACATTTAGCTGGACAGTTTGTTTTTAAATGTTATTGTCTAGAGTCACTCATGTGGCTTCAATCATCCAGCAGCTTGACTAGAGCGGGATGGTTTAAGATGTCCTCGCTCAAGTACCTGGCAGTTACCTGGGGCTGTCAGTGGGGGCAGCGATTGGTGCTCTTTCATGTGGCATTTCCTAGGAATAGCCTGGGCTTTTTATGTGGTGGTAGCAGTGTTCCAAGAAGACAAGAGTGAAAGCCACAAGGCTTCTTGAGTCAGTTCACTTCTGCTACATTCTTTTAGTCAAAACAAGCCACAAAACCAGCCCAGCTTCAGAAAAGGAGTGGGAGGATTAGACTTCACATCTTGATGAAAGGAACTCTGTCCCTCTTGATATAGACCTAGGAACTGAAAAGATAGACCCAGTGTAAAATGGTGAGACAGGTACAGGATAACCTCAATAGAACTCCCATCAAATGGAGGAGTGAGAGGCACGTACCAGTTGCTGGTACAAACAGCAGGTCTGAAATCCAGCCAGGCTCATTAGTCAGGGTCCCCTGCTTTGGGGGCAATGAGAGTTCTTTGATTAGGGCCCAGTTCTACTACCTTGGAAGTCTTTTTCTAATCTTATTTTCTTCTGCTTTTGGCTCTACCCTCTGAGAAGTGCTTCTTTTCTCTAAATTACTCCAGTTTGTAACTGAGTAGTATTTTCAGTCTGCTTCCTTCCCATTGAAAATTGGGAGCCCAGAAACGTCTTTTCAATTTGAAATATCTCTGTTTCTTTTAGTCCAGGCTGGTACAACTCTCTTAACAATTTGTTAATCTTATCTGGGTTCAAACTATCGCTTAAAACACATCTGTAATTCTTTTTGAGACAGTCTTCTTTATTTAGGGTATAGTGTCAGGGTGCTATGGATCAACGCTCTTTTTTTTTTTTTTTTTTTTTTTTTTTTGCGGTACGCGGGCCTCTCTCTGTTGTGCCCTCTCCCATTGCGGAGC